GTTATAGGCACTTATATATAAAGCTACGCGAATAACACTACATGTATCAGACGACTTTATCATCAAGATAGTTTAAATTGGATGTACACACGAAGTGAATCCAGGGTACCAACCTCCCAGTGCAAACGCTCAGTTTAAACTATCTTGATAGTTGGTCGTACGACCCAAGTTGCGCTATCCAAGCAGCCTCGTCTCTTACAGCTCTATATGATTTTCTTTTATTAACGCTGATAAAAAAATAGTGCTCCAATAAGATAATGTCTATCATCACTCTGTTAAGTATGTATATTTTTATTTATAAAACAATCTATTTACATTAACTAGAAACTGTTAAAATTAAAATTTAACTTTGCTTGTACATTCTCTGTTTGCATACTTTCTGTTCTTCACGTAAGTGTGTATACTGTTTTGACTTTCACCACGATGAAGTCGACGACAGAATTTAAACGTGATTATGGAAGTTTTTTCAAAAATTTATCCAAAGTGACCAAAAATTACAAGGATACTTAAAATTACTAAGATAATGTAAGGTATGATTGTGATGGGCTCTAAAATATCACAAGACAGTGTTGGTCACAGCTTGTACCGAGAATTAAACGCGAAAAAGTTTTGTACAAGGTGGGTGTAATATGTGATCAACAAAAATTACAACCGCATTTGCATGACACTTTTCAAAAAGTGATTAACATATTTTAAGAAAAAAAGTTACTTTTGTATCAATGTTATAATGGATAAAACATTGATTGGCTATTACACACTCAAAACAGGGATCTAAGAGGTGAATCGAACTCTGTATTCTTTAGGTATAAAGAAGGCAATAACGGTGCCATCGGCAAAAAAGATAATGGCGTGGGTGTTGTGAGATCTGAAAAGAATTTTTGCTGAATAACTTAATTAAAAAATGTAAAACCATAGATTAAGAGTACTACTCTCAACTTCTGGATGTAAGTTATTAAAAAAACCTGATTAATGAAGAAAAAAATCCTGTTTTATCAGGATAATGCAGATACCTAAAACAGTGTTTTAACCAAGGTGACTTTGAGCAATCTATACTATGAAATATTTGACATACAAATATTTAAAATTGCATTTTCAACAAAACTTTGTAGTATTTGTTACAAATGCAGTTATAAATATGTATAAATATATCATTCGCTAGATATTCAAGGGTAAATCAAGTATTTTAAACTTGCTTTAACACACCCCATGCTGTAGCGGATTTGGTTATAGATAACAAAAGATCAGGACCAGAATAATGAATTAACAAACAGACCTATGAGACAGGAACCAAGGGATGTCAATAAAGCACTGAAAACAATAAAGCTCCAGGTATTGATAACATGCCAGCAAATATTCTCAAACTTGGAGGACACGCGCTGATTATTAGATTTCATAAACAAATAACAGACGTGTGAAACACAAAAGAAATTTCAGGAGACTGAAAAAAATGAATTATATGCCCAGTCCAAAAATAGAGACAAAAACTCAGCTAAAAAAACTACAAAAGCATATCCCTACTCAGTAGAGAAAGAGGCATATCCTTACTTTGTGTTAACTATAAGATATTTACGTATATTATAGACAGAAGATTAAGTCATTTCACAGGGTAAATCATAAGAGAATACTAGGCCGAATATTCAGACCAGGAGGGTCTATCGACCAGCTATTCAACATAAAACAAATATTAGCTAAGGCCAGGGAGCACCTGGCCTTAGATACCTAGATTATAGATACCTGGCAAATATTTGATATATTTGTAGATTTTTGACAAGCTTATAACAATGTAAACAGAGATAAAATATACTAAACTACGCGAGAATTTGATATACCAAGGAAATTGGTAAAATTAGTTCAAGCCACCATGACTCACACAGAAGAGCAAGTACGAGTCTAAAATTAATTAACAGATCATCTTCAGATAATTAAGGGGCTAAAACAGGGAGATGGGCTGACTCAGACTCTCTTTAATATATGTATGGAATATGTTATCAGAAACATGTCTGTAAACCCAAAAAATATATTGTTTATTTAAAGTCTAAATACAAATATTTATCACAAGACTAATACTTCAACTTTAAATGAGTTATATATCAGCAAATGGCTTACCAGCAAAGTCCATCCCCAACAATTAAGTTACTTTAGATATGTTATGATAGCAGACACATAAAACGTGGAAAGACTTACGTGGAAGATTCCCGACAAGGTGGATCGACCAAATTACAGGAATATGCAAAAGACCTATGCATGAGTTTAAAGAAATGGCCAGAAACAAAGATCTTTGGAAACTGACAATACACTACATCATGATGACCATTACGCTCCCTTGGAGGGGTCAGGACTGAAGAAAGAAAAGTCTTAAACAAATTGTAAAGCACGCAGATGATATAACCGTCAACTTAAGTAAAATTGGTCTAATACATGCAAGAAAATGTTATGAAAACGAAACTTGTTAAATTTGACAACATACGACGCAAAAATTGAAGTTGTAAAGGAAAGGAGAAAATACCGAAAAGAATAATATGTGCTAAAAAGCAGAATTTTTTCTGTCGCAGGTGTTTAGATCCAAAGACGTTCATAGGGAAGTAAAGTTCAAAATATATAAAACCATCATACGATAAACAGCAACATATGGTGTAGAAGCATCATGATAGAAAAAACAACAAACTTTATTAATACTGTTGAAAGACAGATGTTAAGAATGATATTGAGACCCATCTTTGACAATGTTATGTGGAGAATAAAGTGCCACTACGAGTTGCAACAGCAACATTATAAAGAACCCCTTTATAAAAAATTATGCAAAAATACACAGAATGCACTGGGCAGGTCATTTTATAAGAAGAACACCTAGTAGAACGCTTAATAGAACTGACCAGAGTAGTAGTGGGATGTATGCCAGAGAAAGAACAAGGAAGAGGTAAATAGACAAAGAGAAAACTGATACTAAAGAGATATTGAGGGTGAATAACTGGAGAAGAGCCGCTAAGGAAAGGGATGCTTAAAGGCGGATGCTGAGGGAGACCAGAGCCTGACTTGGGCTTTAGCGCCATAGGGAAGAGAGATATTTAAAGTTAAATTCAGTATTTTAAACTTGTAGTTTAATAATTTAAACATGTTAAACTAAATCTTATTTAAATTTGTAATTAAAGCAAATAATTTTTTAGCTATTAACATTATTACAGACTTGGCTGCTTAGATTCAAATAAAGGTCATTATTATTGGTAAGTGACAATACATACATCAGCTGCTCAATGAAATGAAGCAAAGTTACAAATACAAATGGTAATCAAAGTGTCTGTGGTCGAAGCCTGTTGTTCAGTAGAAGGTAATAATTAAAACCAATTAGATATAGCATATTCTTAATTTGAAAATTAGTTGAAGTTAAAGTTTAATTTTTATTTTACTTGAATATATAAGATCTGGGCAATAAATACACTTATTTTGTGCAAGTCAGCTTAAAAGATAATCTTGCCTTACATTTTATTATTGTTTTAAGAACAAAAAAGCAAATTCTTAACTGTTGCCATGTTTTTTTTTTTTGATATTATCTACCATTTTTAAATAATGCTTCTTCTTTGTGTGCCGTGCTTGTTTTCAAGCGTTGGCTATCATCGTATTAACAAGGTGATGAAATGTTTCTCGATCTTGAAATAATTCCTCGACCGTTTGACCTGTCCATTGTCTAATGTTACGCAGTCATGACAATTGCTTCCTTTCGCCCAGCAGTTTCCTTCAATTTTGCTCTGAATGATCAACTGGAGTAAGCGGTATTTAGGTCCCCTCATTATATGGCCCAAGTACTGGACCTTTTTCATTTCGATGATGTTGATCAATTCTCGCTCTTTGTACATGGTCTCTATGGTGCTACAATATTAGAAATACTATATATCGCAATCCTAATATTCCACTTTAACGTGGTCATCGAGGTTCAGCCAAGCAAATTGCTGTCAAAATGCTCTGGGACCAAGAAAATAGTAACATGCAAGGTAAAAACGAACTGTACCGTATCCAAATCCTCATGTCAGTCTCTTGTCTAAAAAGAATTGCTACAGGTATACACTAGAAGTCCAATGACAAACACCATCGTACAATGGCAAAAACCTTGCGACAATTAGTTGCAAGACAAAAACGTAAGAGGAACAGTAAGATAAACAGTCATTAGATTTTAAGCATATCTGTTAATAAAATTGAAACATGTTTCTTTTGTAGGTCTAAGGAGGCTGTTTGGTAATTATAAATCTTTAAATTCTCCCTAAAAACGTTGCTAAATAGTAGAGCATAGGACTTTTTACTAGAGTTTAATGAAAGAACAATGTTAATAGAAAGTTCTCATAAACAAATACTTTACAAAAGTCTCGCTTAAGATATCAACAAGAAGAAGAAATTCAATAGATGCAAATATTACTGTAATAAAAATCAAAAACAGTACGACTACATTGGGCAGCATTATGTTGCTCCTTTAAGTTGACATCGTTTATGTATTGTATTTCTAATAAAAAATGTATTAACATTATTTCGTAGGTCGTATTTTTCCCACTGGGCTAAATTTTAATAAGCTTAGCACACTATGTATTTTGTCAAGTTTCAGTGGTTAATATAAAATTTTACGGATATCTGTTTGTTACTTTTATATGATTGAAACGGTATGTGTCAATTGTTACAAAAAGTTATACAGGGAGCTCAAGCTTTTGCGGGGCGGCGCACACAAACGGTTGGCTTTTAAACATTTTATTATCCATTAATGATATACAACACGTATAGAATTATCAAATATCAACACAAAAGATTACAAGAAAATACATAATTAAAGATGACAAATAAAATAATAATAATCGCACGAGAGCAGTAAACGCAGCGTTGTTCGCGGTATGCTACAAGGACCCGTGCTTGGACTCATAAGCTATCAAACTGTCCATAAAGGCACTTGAAGTGGCAGATAACATAAAATACTGAGAGAACGACTTTCAGTTGTGATTTCTAATGTTTGTATTCGAACCTACCGGGCCGGTATCTGTCTAGAGAACCATAGTTGTGTGGGAAAATTGGCCTGGGTGAGTAACCGTATGTATCTCTGTGAAGTGGATCGTATCTGTAGCCGGGAACGTGGATACGTTCGGAAGCTGCGCTGGGCTCGTCATAGATTGATTTGGTGTATGGCCAAGAGGATGAGATTTCTGGGATGTCACTTATGGGACGGAAGATGCCCCTGCGGGAATGGACTGAATCAGTTGCCCTTAAGTCATCGGATCCTGCAAAATAAAAAATAGTTATAAAATAATATTTGCCTACTTATATCTTGGATTTAAGTTTATAAAAAGATATATGTTTAATAATAAGATATATAAATTATTTATTCCCCGTGTTATAACTAGTGACTTTAGCCACTTCCTCTCTTATATTACATTATTTTTGAGCGGTCCTGCTGTAGTTTTTATCAGTTCATATGCAATCACTTGGGTCTTTTTCAAATAACAATAAAATGATAATAATTAAAATTATCTAATCATCTTTGTCGTTGTTTTAAAATTGTCTTAAAATTAAAATATAAAAGTTAATTTTTTTGGGATCTAAAGTGAAAGAATTTTAGTACAGTTGTATCTTGACAATACAATTACATATTTACTTATATTGTTTTATATGCCTGTGATATTGTTGATATTCGATAATTAAGTAAAGCTTGAGTTATTATCTTCGTAACATATATTTTCATTTGGATTGGGACACGCAAAAAGAATTACTTGCTGTAATTAATTATCCTCTGAAACTAAAATTATTTTATCGAAAGTACTGAGGAATTTGTAGATAAGGTCGGTGCTTCTGCGTGTTTTATAGATTGATTTAGTATATTTGATATTCTTTTTGGCATAAACCTTTAATATATTTTAGGAGATATCTTTGAGTATATTTTGCGTTTTAAAATTTTGTAGAGTATAAAGCATTCATGAAATTCTTCTACAGCCTGTTTGTAATCATCTTCTGGACAAATGCCTCTCCATGAGTTCTGCACTCTTTTCTGTTTTGTTCTATTTGGTGCCAGTTTCTCCCTGCTTTTGCTTTGCTGTCATCTAGTCACTGTTTTTGTGGTCTTTCTCTACTACAACTGTGCTCGCGTGGTCTCCAATGTACAATGTTTCTTGTTCATCTTTCATTGTTTTGTCTTGCCATGTATACCATCTAGCTGTATTTCATTTGCACAATTTTCAAATCATATCTTCCAACTTAGTCTTGCTTCGAATTTTTATAACTTTTCTTTAGATTTTTTAGATTTATGGGTATCTTTTTGTTTTTCAACATAACACTAAGCCTTCCTACTGCTGGCCAAGTTACTCGAGTGCTTCCAGTTATCTCATTTCCATCTAAGTCTATTGTGATATTTTCGAAGATTGTTGTTTGAGCTCTTTTAACATCTAGAGTAGTTCCTCTGTATTGTTGCTTATAAGTACTGTATCATCGGCAAATTTTAGATGGCTTAAAAATCAGCCATCGATTTTAATTCCGCTTTTTAACTTCTTAAATACATCTTCTGATACAAGAGTAAATAATTTTTGAGAGATAATGTCTGCCTGTCTAACCCCTCTTTCGGATTTTTTTTTATTTTGTTTGTCGTTTGATCTTCTGCTATATATATATATATATATATATATATATATATATATATATATATATATATATATATATTATACTAAAATAAACGGAGTTACCAAAGTAAAGGTCTGGTATAAATGAAAGCCACCAATAGGTGGACGACCAATAGGGTGTATACTCCAATTGTGCTAGTCAGCGGTTCTCGACACAATGAAAAAAATCACCTAGTTCACTTAAAATAGTGTCCAAATCTCAAATTCAATTTTTCATATCCCACTATGCATCAACGCCCAGAAAGTTAGAGAAAGAGATCAAACGAAAAGTAGCTGGTACCTATATTTTGTAGAAATTACATACGAGTATCTAATGCGCATGATGAATCAAAAATTTCGCTTTTTACTTTCGTTTGTTAATATTTACTAGTGTGAGTTAAATTTTTCCTTTTAATTATTTTGTTTTAAATGGTGTTTCACTTTGGAAAAAGGAATGAAAAATGTAAGTAAATCTATGTACTATCATATAAGCGGATGGAAAATTTTACATAAGAATACCTTCGTATAAATATACCACAATTGGATTTAAAGGTTTGCTTCCTACTTCCTTGATATGGTAATATAGTTCCGCCTGTTCCATCTTCGTATGTCTTCTTATTGGAAGTAAAGGACTTTATCTACTTATTGAGTTTCATATACTACAGCCGTTTAACGATTTATCTTGTACTATTTTTATAAGAAATATTTTAGTTATGTGGCTGTTCAAGTGGTCTTTATGTCTCGAATAGCTTCGTTATTTACTTTTTCCGGTGCTTTTTGTGATCTTCTCACAAAAGATCTGATCATTTTAAGGTAAATTGAATCGATTGATTTTAAACTTTAAGTTTGGTTAGTTAAGGTTTTGTTAGATGAGGTTTAAGTTAAGTTCCAAAAAATTAATCTATCCGATCTTCCGCGTTTTTTATCAACCTGACCTCCCACCCGCAATTTTTATGTTTTATTTCGCACCGGAGTGTTATGTCCAGATTGCCTTTAAAGTTCACAGCTGTTTTTTAATTATTGAAAGTTTGTTTTACCCAGAGGCTGTATCATAAAAGTTCTTACTTATTTATAATTGGAGTAATCAAAACGCCCAGGCCAAAATTCCTATTTTTCCGGGGAATAAAAATATCCTTCTCAATCTTACAATCTCTCTTGACTTGACTTACGACAAATTTTCCAGAACATCCGTAACTATATAAACTACACTTATTTTGTTTATTATGACATTATTTTTCAATGTATATATAGACAGCTATTAAAACTTCAGCAACAATCCGATAACATTAGTCATGTGTGTTTATTTTAATAGAATGAGTTTGGCATTTTTTATTGCGCTTCTATTTGAATATTTGGATCAACATCACCTTAAGAGAATTTTGTAAACTGTGTAAGTGGTAAATTTATATTGTTACCTTTTAGAGATCTGACGAAGGACTGCCAGAACTTAGCCTTCTTAGAAGGGGTTTCGTTAAGGCTTATCATTTCCAAATGTTCCTTGAAAGACATGGTGTTAGTTGTGGTAGGTTAACTTTCTTTCTAGATTCGGTCTTTTTCGGTCGTTCGTCCCTGTAATAAAAAAAAACAATATAAATATTATATATAATCTCTAAATTAAAAGGTAACAAAAAGACATGAGTGTTAAATGTCATGAGTTCAAATTTTAAAACTTAAAAAGCAAACATAAGTAGGTATATATAAAATATTAAGATTCATAATCATGAATATCAAGGAGATGTGAGAATTAAGAAAGGCTGAAAGAAAAAGACGTGAAGAATAAAAATGCTTACTGTCTTACTAATAAAACACTCATATCCTAAGGTTATTCCGTATTTATACTTAGAATAGTTATCCTAAGTATAAGGTAAATATAATACTAAAATAATTTGTTACAAATAAACTCAGTATAAGTTAGTTATAAGTATTCCCACTTTATTCCGAAATAATAGTTTGGCAATGTCGCAATCTTTTGCATAAATACATGGAACAACGAAATATTGAGTGAAATATGTCAATTTTGATTTTTCTTTGAAACTGACAATGACAACTGACACCATATATATCTTTATTTAATATCTTATATCAAAGAATATAGACTATATTCTTTGCTTATATGTTGAGTTTGAGTATTTAAAAATTGCAAAAAACCTTACACCAACTTTAGAAAACCGATATTTTATTCTAAATTCTCTATCAGTGTTTTGAAAAGGGATTTATTATTTCTATAAAAGTTTTTCTTTTTCGTGTATTTTCCATCATGTTAATTAAATTATCAACTTCCTCGACAGCTGCAACACCTCTTAAACACAATTTTTTAATAAATAGCTACTCACAAAATAATCCAAAAAATAATATATTCTTGTCACTGATGACTTTCACATTTATAAAATAGGTTATACCGTTATACCAGACTTAAACTAGGGTGCGGGTCGGTATAATCTTGGAATAAATTCTGATATCAAGTATAACCTATATCTAAGTTATTCCGTGTTTATTGGTAAAGATTTTGCCTATACCTGATTTATTCTCAGTATAAATTTTATACTTGGTTTATTAGTTACGCTGTTAGAAATATTTCTGTTACAACAAGAAATAAATGGTATATACAAAAACATAAGCAAGTCAAAATTTAAAAAAAAAAGTGAAAGTGGGAAAAAAAATATGTTGCGAAAATATATTAACCAGTTTCTCAGAAAGATAATTGTGGGTAATTGATATTTTAATGTGCAATAATGTATATAGAAAACCATAACATAATATGTGAGAATAAATCAGAACTAGAACCAGTTACTGAAAAAATAATTATTAAACTAATTGAATTTGTCAAAGATAGAAAGAATACTTTTCCAGGTAGTTAAACTTTCAACTAGCACAAAGGGAGGATGCAGAGACATATGCCAATGCTGAGGTAACAATACCACAACCAATACTTGGCAAAGTGTATGAGCAAATAAGAGTTTCGAAAAACCATAAATCTCCTGGTTGTAATAAAGAAATACACTACCTTATTGTAACAATATGAAAAAAAAAAACGAAAAATTCCTAAACAGTAGACCAAAGCATTAATTGTTCCATTATTCAAAAAGGAGATTAAAAAAAGAAAACAAACTGCTGCAATTATCGGATATATCTCTATTATGCACAAGCTACAAGATATTGTTCTGAAGCTGTTTTCTTGTAAAATTTTAAAGTAATTACTATTTAAATGGGAATAAGCCACAATTAAAGGTTAAAGTTAGTTTATTGATGTTTCAATTTCCGAAGTGGAAAGTATCTTTAACTTTTAATTGTGGCCTATTCTCATTTAAATAGTAATTAGTTACAAGATACTTTCATATTTTTTTTTGCTTAAAATATACGCCGAAGAAAACATTGGTGACCACCAATATGAATTCAGAAAAAATCCAGGAACCACAGATCAAATCTTTAGCATCCGGAAAATATTGAAGAAACTATGGATTTTCAACAAGCCTTTGATAGTATTGAAAAAAAAAATGTTTCTGGAGGATAATGAAAGAGTATGGTGTCCTTCAAAAACTGATAAATATGATAGTCATTGTATCGAGAACTCTAAATTCAGTGCCAAAATCGGGTATCAGATCACCACAAGGTTTTAACTGCGACACCGGATTAAGACAAGGATACCTTATATCTCCTATTTTCTTTAATATTGTACTAGAAGTGTTAGAGGCAACAGGCCCAAGGGAGAATTCCATTGACTGGCAATCAGTACAAAAAGTTGGCTTATGCAGACGACATAAAAATTAAGGACAGCAAAATAGACCGTATTTAAGTAATGTATCATCAATTAAAATCATCGGTGACTGATTGTCAGCACAGACAAAACTATTTGTTTGTTTGTGTTTAAATGACTGCGGACACTAAATCCATTCGCCAATCTTACAATTTGAGGTGTAGTGTGTGTATGTGTAGAGTAATTGTCTTGATACTTAGCAAAGTCGACGTCATTGTCTTTGCTAAGAGACGCTAAATGTATCCGAACGTCTGCGGCCCCTCCGGTGTGTACCGATCACACAAGGATAGAAATTATTTTCATTTATTAATTTTTTTAATAAACGAAAATTTCCACCCAGGTGGGATTCGAACTCACGACCTTTAGATTTAAAGGCAGGCGCTCTTACCACTGAGCCACAGAGGGGGTTAAAAGACAAAACTAATTAGATGGAAGTATCGAGCAGAAACCGAGAAAACTCTGATAGTAATTTGATATTAATGAATGTGAACTATCTACAGAGTGTAAAGAGAGAAGTTCTTGGGCACAATACTTAAGAGCAATAATGAAATTGAAGAGGAAATCTTAGCGACAATACTAGCTAGCAATAAGGCTGCAGGAACTTTAAATAAAATGCTGAAATTAAAATTACTGTCAAAAAATCTAAAACTAAAAATCTATAAGGCCGTTATAAAATTAGTAGTATTATACGAGGTTGTAAGTCATGGCGCCCTACCACCACACACTAAAAAGACATCAACGCACTTTTACCTTTGAAAACAAAATATTAAGAAAAATTCCAGAGCCCCAGCAAAATCTTTAAGGTAATTGGAAGATTCGCTCAAACGCATAAATAAGAGATCTCTTTAAAGAATCAATAATAAGAAGCATAGTTAGATCCCGAAGTCTTGCACAGCTATGTCCTGAGATCTTGAAATGACAGAGGTACCAGAAATATAGCTGTATCAACGCCAACTGGAAAGCGCCCACTTGGTCCTCCGCGACAAACACTGGTTGACCTACTGGCATCAAAAAGGGACGTCCTATGCATAAGGGAGGCATGTGCAGGAAGGCTAAAAATCTTAAATATTTGTGTGGCCATCGGAAGTAAGTTAAAAAAGATTAATTAATAGACCAATACCGTAGAAACAAAACAATATACAAAATCGATATTTATATAGTCGGTTCACTCCGCTTGGGAATATTTTTCCGGTTAAATTTTCGGAAATATAAAACACAAAAATTCCTACCATACTAATACTAATATATAAACGACTAATAAATTTTAAAAATAGAAAATATTAGCATTTGTCTTAATTTCTGCAGTATTATTTTGTTAAAAATCTGCATGTAAATAATTATCAACATAGCCAAAAAATAATTACTATATTTACTGAATTTAGGACTGGATTGAGTAAACAGAGCATACCAATATTGTTAATTAAGTTTTTATCTTTGGTTTTAAAATAGAGACGTTCCTGAATAATACAAAAGTGGGTCTACTTATTATTTATATAAAACTAGAAAAAAATTTGTTTCAAATAAACAAGATTTTATTTGCTTTTACTTCAGTTTTAATGTCTTTTACAAATATAAATAACTATGAATTTTAAAGAATATTGCGAGTTTTGCAACTTTTAAATACTAAGCTTGTAGTTTAAATGATTGCTTTTCTATAAATATTTTTATGTGACTTTTAGTACTAAAGTAATATTTATTTTATAATTGGCGCTTTTATACATAAATTTTATAGTTTATATAATTTATGTTAATATACTTTGTTAACATCAATTTTAATTAAGTAACTGATGATCCTATAGCTAGTACATTATTTTCTTGTTATAAGCTACGATTTGAATTTTCTTCTTCATAACGATTCGTCTGAAACTGCGGCAGACATGAAGTATTGTCCTAATATGTAGAATCCTTGATTCTGTAGATAAATAAATAAATGAAAAATATCGAAGGTTCGATTTCCACTTCGGAAATCGTTTTTAAAATGTGTCTTGTATTTTGTAAATATATTACATTATATATTTTGAGAACGATTTCTAAAGTGGAAATTGAAACGTAGGAAGATATTTAAAATACAAAATATATACAATAGAGGAAACTATGCCAGAAGAAAAATGCAAAAATTAGTGACAGTAAAAAAACAAGGACAAAGATTTTACAAAATCATGCAGATAATCACGATTTCAAAATTTTGGGAGGCTAAGATAGACTATTAAAGTCACTTGTAAAATCTTAATTTAGTTGCAATAGAAAAAAGAGTATAAACTAAGGTGTTCCAAAACAATAAAACCAAAAGGAAATATATGAATATCAGTAAAAAAAGTGACAACGTTTACAGCAATATGTACGTAGATATAAACATTTTAATAAAGAATAAAATAGTGTTACCATGGATATTAAAAGAATACTGGCAACAACTATGAATACCAATTAAAAATTGGTGAAAAATCATCATCAGTTGCACTACAGCCCTTCGTGAGCCTGCCTCATAACATTCTACAATCCTTTCCTGTCGACTGTATGTCTTCTCCACCCTTACTCTAATCTCCCTTAAATTCTCCTGCATATCATTGAGATATCTGAGCTTAGATCGCTCCCTTCTTTTTCTTTGAACTGGCCTATTTAGCATGGTTATTTTAGCAAAATCACTTTTATCAATCTGCATAACATTGCCCACTCATCTTATTGTTTTCACGATATCTGCATCACCAAAAAGTCTATAGAGTTCGAAATTATATCGCCTTCTCCACAGACTTTGCTCGATCCACAAGTGAGCACTGGGAGTATTATTGTTTTATAAGTTTGCACTTTGTTGCTCTTG